ATCCCCTTGAACTGGAGTTACCTGTAGTTGTGAGCTGCCCTGTGGATGCTGGGGACTGAGCCCAGGTCAGGCAGATGAACAGTCAGTGCTCTAACCTCTGAGCTAATTCTTCAGTCCCTCTTTTTTTATTTTAGTATATTCTTATTTGTGACAAGGTCTTGCTGAGTTTCTCAGACTGTGATTCCTGGGCTAATGTGATTCTCTGTAGGGTGTTTACCCACCACCCCCACAGTTCCCCAGAGTTTTCTTGAGTGCAATCAGCAAAAAATATTAGATAGAAAGATTTATAGCGGAGAATCTTGCAGAGATAAACAGATAGAAAATAAAGGATAGCCTCGAGAGGGCCTGGAACCTATTCCAACGGGCCCTGACTGTCTCTGGCCCAGGGTTTTTATTGAGACGCCAAGGGGTGGAGCAAAAGACCTCCTCCCCCAGCACAGCCAAGTGCAGACCATCTCAGACACCTGCACTCAGGCCCGTGGTCCTGATCATCCTCTATTCGGACCTGCTGGTAAAGCCACGAGGAACCCGAGAACGGGCTCCCACAATTCTCCATCTTAGCCTTCAAAGTATCTGAAGCTTTGGTTGTAGAGATGACCCCATCATGTCCCACATGATTCAATTCAGCACAAATACGTCTAGCAGTTGAGTTACCTTGTGAGTTTGTTCTTACGTTCCTCCTGCCAGTTCTCCCCACTTGCACGTACTCTTGTTTTACTTTATGATATCCATGTTATATTTTAAATTATATATTTAATTCCTAGAAGCCATTTTAAAGATATGTATATATGTGTACTTGTACAAGTACTCTGATGGCTTTTTCTCAATGGGACCATTCACTTTTTTTTTTTTTTTTTTTTGTGGGACAGTCTTCAGAGTCTGCAGCTACCATTGCTGGCATTTATTCCTCCCCTCTCTCAGGCCATGTCTACTCTGAGGCATTTTGTGGATGTGTTGTTTGGCCCCTTTCTACCTCATACAGTCTCATACTGTTGCATACAGTCAACACTCTGATGCCTTTGAGTAGGCAGAAGTCCCAAATGTGAAAGGAGGGCAGAACAGAGTATTTTCGTGAGTTGTCCTGATGTTCCGTTTGTCCAAAATTCTAGTATTCAGTGTCTCTAGCTGCCAGATGCTGCTAAAACCTCAAAAGGTTTCTCCTTCTCTGTCACCAGGCTTTGCTGTGCTTCTAGCCTCTTCATTGGTACCAAATACTAATCTACAAAAGTCTGGAAGGAGAGAAACGTACAACTCGAGTTCTTCTCATGGCATCCCCCTCCCTCCAGGACTCCTATCCTCACTGCTCTGGAAGCCTGTCTGCTCCTTACAGTGGCTTTGCAAGAAATATGGGTTTTCCAAAGAATTTGTTAAAAAAGATGATAAGATACCTTCTCAGGGTCTAAAGCAGAAGTGTCCAAATACCTTTATTCTGCACACTGATTGACATGTGCTACTTGGACACAAAAAGCGTCGATTCTTTACATTGAATGAATGCTTTATGTTGAGTGAATGCTTTTTGTTAAAATCACATTTTGATTTATAGAAATATTTCAAAGGTTTGTTGTCAAATTCATTAGTCTTTTCCTGTAAGACTTCAATTAAGGCTTGAGAGAAGCTCTTCTAAACTCTCAGTCACACCTTCCTATCCCTGACTTTGGTTTCTTTACATTTAAATTTCCATTTCAAATTTGTCTTAATTTTCATTCACAGAGTGTTTTGGAATTCTCTTTCTCCCCAATTATTTAACAATCATTTGAAAAATACATCTTTCTTCCTTACTGGCTTAAAATTCTACTTTCTACAGATTGGAAATTGTGACATACACTCTGTTTGTTTCTGAAGTTCATTAGTCTGAGTGTGATTAAACCTGCCATGTCTGTATTCATGACTGAACTTCAGGAATTCATTTCACTATACGTCAGCTCAAGTCGTTTCTCTCCTTTGCCCATTTCATCGTGGCTGGTCACATCAGGACATCTTTGAGATGATAGAAGTAGTAACTACAACTTGGGCTAAGGTGGCAGCAGTGGCAATACAGGACGAGGTCAGAGGAGTGGTCTTGAGGACTGTCACCCATAGAGCTCGAGGAACTTCGAGGCTGTCAGAAATGTCTGTTCAAACATGGCTTTAAGCCTTCCAGCATGGCACTCCTAAAAAAATGGTGGAATCATTTACTCTACGACTGAGAATACAGGAAAACCAGATTCTGAGATACAGGGAGGATCTTTGTGGTAAAAAGCAGAAAGGGGGCAGAATGAATACGTATAAACATCTGATGATATAGTGGAGTCTTCCAGCTTTGGCTAGAAGTTAAAGACATCAAGTGAAATCCAGCCCTGATTACATACCAAATAAAATTTACTGTGGCACCAACTCTAATAAATGTATGATTTTTCAAGAGGCAGCCCTTTCCATATTTTAAAGCCATATGAAATATGCCACTAGGCTATAAACTGTGTTTGCAGTCAAGTGAGCGGCCCAGACTTAGGCGAGAAGGGCACAGAAGACAGATTTATCAAGCTTGAGAGATTTAGAGGACAAAATGTTTCAAGTGATTATGTTGACGTTACTGGCAGAAAACATTTGCAGCAATTTGCCATTAACCCTAGTTTTGCACAGAATGAAGGTTGGCAGATTGCTACAAGAGCCAACCATGACTATAAGAAGTAGAAAGAGTTTAGTAGGTGCTATACCATTGTCAGGCACCGAGCCTGGAATCCAGTCTGTGAGGAGAGTAAGCAACTTCAACATATTTCAATTCTACTCACTTCAACCCATCTTTCTTTATTTACCTAAAAATCATAGATACTCTCAACTTCAAATTGCATGTGTAACTTCTAAAATACTTTTTAATTAAGTACAAAGAATAGAATGCATTAAAAAAAAACCCACAGCAAGCTAACTCTGTTGACAGGTAAGCCAGCCCCGAGAATGGGAGCATGGGAGTTCTGGCCCCGCCCCTCATCTGGCAGATGGTGTCCTGAGCAGTGGTGGTGGGTAGGTGGTGGGTGAGGGTGGATGGGATGGGGATGCTTCCCCCACCCCTGCCCCTTACCACCAGTAGCAGGTGGGAGAGCTGGCCCTGAGTTCATGAGAACCTGTGAGCTGGTGCGGGGCAGGGAGAGACTTCCTCCCCTGGCCCCTTCCCCCTGGTTGCCTTCCCCAGGCAGGAGAAGGGGTCTCTGAGTCATGAGAGTGGAAGAGCTGGTCCTTCCCCCTCACTGGCTGGAGCACTCGGGAGAGCAGGCCCTGTACCTCGCCTGGGCAGCACAGTAGAGCTGACCCTGCCCACAGAGGGTGCCAGTGAGGTGAGCTGGCCCTGAGAATATGAGCATGAGAAATCTGGCCCCCACCCCTCAACTGCCAAATGGTGGTGTGGGCAAGGGAGGAGCCCCACCTCCCCGCTTGTGGCAGGTGGGAGAGCTGTCCCTGAGGTCATGAGAATGAGAACAAGAGAGCTGGCCCTGACTGTCACCAGCTACAGCACTTAGCAGAGCGGCCCCTGCATCTGGTCTGGGCAGCACAGTAGAGCTGGCCCTGGTGGTATAGGCCTGGGTGAGCCGACCCTGAGGGTGTGAAAGCAGGAGAATCAGCCCCACCCCTTGCTGCTTACTGTACAGAGTGAACTAGCTAGATGATACCGGAGAGCTCATCCTCGTGACCAACCCAGCAACCACTCAGACTCAGAACCAGGCCTATGAGTTGGTACCTCCCAACATCGACCCCATCTATGGGACTGGTCCTGAGGACCCAAAGTTGCAAGATCTCCATAACACGGAGCAACAATTGGATATCCAAGAGGAGTCCCAGGGAGCTCACAGTATCCAGGGTATAGCAGAAACCAGAGGCCTAAAGCCAGGCCACTGATTCACTGCGATGAACACTTGTAAGTAAGATGTAGGAACTAAAGGGTATACTGCGCAACTCACAGTGTCACACCACAGCGTCCACGATGAGATCTTTCTTTTCCTTTACATTTTATTTTGTTATCTTGTGTGGGAGGTTGCCAGGGCAGAGGGTGGATGCGAAGGGCCTGGGAAATGAATGGGATCGAGATGCATGATGTGAAATCCACAAAGAATCAATAGAAGTTTAATTAGAGAAAAAAAAAAAGCCACAACCACAAAGGTGCTTTAAACTAGATGTGGTGACACATGCCTGTCATCCCAGCACGGAGTCGAAGAGGAATGGCATGAGTTTGAGTCCAGCCTGGTCTCCAGAGTGAAATCTTGTTTTAAAAAACAAAAATGAAAACAAATAGAAAGATTAATTTCGATGGTGAAACATTAGTTTTCACAATGTTTCCTTTGGCTTTGGGCATTTTCAACTTTAAATTTTGACCACAAGAGCAGAATTGTAGAATTTGGGGCTTGGGCAGTTTATTTATTTAGTTTTTAAATCTACATTTAATCAACACATGAGTTCTTGAAGAGGAAATGTTCGCCTGTAAGTCGAAAGAAGGGCTAAGCTCAAGAATCATGCTTCTAATCACTGCTCTTAAATACTGGCCTTCCCAGTGCGGAGGCCAGAAAGTTCCCATTAACTTACCATATTAATTCCTGAGTCACTTCATATAACACCCTCTCCCACCTTCCTTTAAGGCTCAGCAAAAATTTTAATGTGGAAAGATAAAAGTGGTTTCTAGCCCTCTTCTGAGCATCAGATTTCTAAAAACAGCTGACACAGGCCTCTTTTGTAATCAAGTTTAATATAAAAGCGCCAAGAGTATGCAAATAAAACACAAAGCCCAACGCTGGATGCAGAGGGGTGATTAATTGATGTAGTGCCATTTTTAAGGTAAGACATTGCTCCTGCCTTCTGGCCACGGGCAGTGGTCACACCACAGGTGACTGACTGTCTCTTCACAGTCTTACCACGGCTGTGGATGCACAAGCACTAGCAACTTGCCAACCTCATGACTTTGGGTAGTGTGGGTTCAAACAAACACACCCCACCCCCACCCTGTTCTACCTCAGAGTCAGAAGGAAATGAAGCCACAAGGAGAAAAAAAAAAAGGGCTTCACCCACTCTGCCTCCTGCCTCTTCTCTCTGTCTTCCCCTGCTCTGTTCCTCCCTGCTTGGCTCCAGTGCGACCTCCTCTCTGGCCCAGGTAGAAACTGTGAAGAACGGCCATTGCGGAGAAGTACCTCTCCACCTAAGCCTGTTCTACCCCGATTGGGCTCCCCCTTGACGTTCTGTCTGCCTGAGGGAGGAATTATGAGCAAAGAAGGCAACTGCAGACAAATGACATCCAGAAGCTACAAGCTTTTCTAAAAATCGTATCTATACACCAGCCAAGACAGAACAATGGCTTTATCGCTGGAAGAATTTGTCCACTCCCTGGACCTAAGGACCCTCCCCAGGGTCCTCGAAATCCAGTCAGGCATCTACTTTGAAGGTAAGCATTTTCCTAATTCTTTGACTTGCTAGAAAGTTCTTATAAAGTCCCTTGGGAATCCATGGGAGAGATTTTAAATAAAGCACACTTGAAAGGCTGTGTATATAGCCCAGTGTTGTGGCTATTTGGTTCGAACCTCATCATACCCACAAACACAAATCTGAGTTCTCTAAAGGAAGGGTGAACACACACACACACACACACACACACGGAAGGAGCTACTGAATAGTGGAGACCCAGTGGCTGGTGAAGGAGGGAGAAGCTAAGGCTGTAAGAGGGATGGGGACGCCAAACTATGTGAATTGTGATCTTTTCATTGATGGGCATTCAACAAGTCAATACAAATGATATGCTACTTCTACCTAGTCCTTGGAAATCATTGTAACACAGTTAAAAAAAAAAAACAACGAGGAGGGGGATAAAATGGTATTAAAAATCAATATAAACTGGTCATTTTGCCAGATGTAACAGGCAGTGGTGTTAATTAAATAGCTTTAATCCCAGTACGTGAAAGGGAAAGGCGGACAGATCTCTGAGTTCAAGGCCAGCCTGGTCTACAGAATGAGTTTCAGGATGACCAGGGCTACACAGAGAGACCCTGTCTCCACAAATACACAAACAAAAACAACAACAACAACAACACAGGGTTTGATTTCATTCACTGTAATAATGAATGTTCTGCACATGATTAGGATAGAATAGACTGAGCTATGATCATGGATTGGTTGGGTGTATCCAAAAAAACGTTGTCGATACTTGTTTCTAGATTATTTTTCAAAAGCCAAAAAAAAAAAAAAAGCCAAACCAAACAAACAAACAAAAGAAAACAACTGAACTTGCTTTGCTTCACCCAAAATGAGTGTGACTATCAAGGGCACAGTCCTTACAAATAAGTGCTGCCATGTTCTGAACAACTTCTACATTGCCTTGTGTTTATACTCCTCTTTCTGTAGTGAGCCCACTCTAAAATCCTTAAATAGTGGCAAATTTTATTTAAAGATATAGAAATTAGTACCTAGTGACCACAAAATCCCTTTTAAAATCTGTGTCGAAAAGTTAAAGTTCACTGAAAATTATTTAAAACTGGTAGGCTGGTGAATTTTGGTGTAACTTACTGTAATACGTAAAATCCCCAATGTTTTCTAGCATTTTAAAGTTAGTTTGATTACATAGAATGTACTGAAAACATTTTCTAGGTAGGTATCTATATCTACTTACAAAAACAGGAGAATTAAAGAAAAACAAGGAATTGGGTCTAGTCAAATGACTAGGAAATTAACGAATGGTTGGCTTTCGAACTCACGGGTTGTCTCCAACTTCCCATAGTTAGACTTTCAATGCTTTGACTTTTCAATGTAGTGGAAATGCACAGTCATTCTGTTTGTGTATGTGTGTGTGTTGTTTTTCATTTTAAGTACAGTAGTCAATAAGTTATATGAGATTTTAAATACTTGGTTTTAAAGTGGGTATTTTGTAGTGGGGAGAGGTGGTTCATGTCTTTAATCCCCACACTCAGGAAGCAGAGGCAGGTGGATCTCTGAGTTTGAGATTTGGATCTCTGAGTTTGGTCTGCAGAGCAAGTTCCAGTCCAGGGTTACACAGAGAAATCCTGTCTCAAACAAACAAATAAACAAACAACAACAGCAACAAAAGATTTGATTTTATTCACTGTAACAATGCATGTTCTGCACATGATTAGGACAGAATAGATCATGGCTTGGTTGGGTGTATCCAATATATTGTGTTTTGATGTTTTCAGTTCCCAGTGGGAACAAGTGAGGGAGTGATGATTTGGTCTTACCTCCAAAAAAAATTAAAAATTAAAAATTAAAAAAGGTTGATATATGCACACCTACATATCTCCACACACCTGAAAAGTTTGTACTAGTCACCTTCAGATTTTACTTAAGTTTTTGTGAACTGGTTATTTGGGATTAGGCCATCTTTCATCATGCTTACTTCCTATGACACCAGAACTTACATTTCTAAGCCAGCCATCAATTGCTTCTTGTCTCATGGTTTATGCTTTTAGGACTTTATGGAAGAAGTTTTTTCCTTTACATCTAGGAAGAATTTTTGTAACAGCCTCACAGGTTCAGAATTTATATTTGGTCTTTAGTTTATTTGCGGTATGCTTTTCTATGAGATGTACAGGGACCCAATTTTCCTTTTTTGTACATGTTCAGTCAGATTTTCCCAGTACCATCTTGCTGCTTCCAAATCAGATAACATGCTCACATATGCATCATTTGTCTTGGAAATACCTCTTCTGTTATATTAGTTGATTTTTGTTAACTATTTGTTCCCACTCATATGATTTTTTTTGAATAGCTGCTGTGAAATTAGTTAATATATGTTCAGGGTACATCTAACACCCTTGTTTTTCTGACACCCTTGTTTTTATTCCATGCTCCAAAGTTGGCTTAGCTGTTCACAGACTTTTAAAGTACATTTAAAAAACAACAACTGATTCTTTAAGAAATCTAGTGAAGACCTTTATTATATTGTCTTGATTTTATATATTAACTTGAAAGAGTGGTAGTTCATACTGTTTTAAAAAGGAATTTGTTCCTATCATTGTCTTTGTTCTTTATGACTTTACCACTATGTTATCCCTTAATTAAAGTGAATTTCCACACAATAAGTACATCCATGTAACTGTCACCCAAGAAACAGAGAAACACTAGTACTCTAGAAGACTCATCTTGTATACTTTTCAATTGTTATCTAATCCTTCCCCAAATTAACCAATACTCCACGACTTTTGTCTACTTATAATCTTTATATAAATGGAAAATTATAGTATGTACTCTTTTGGTTGGTGTACATGTATTGTAAAGTTAATCTACTCTATTCTATAC